CGGGGCCCTCTGAGCCGAGTGGTTTTGCCGCCAAATGGCACCACTAAATACCGGTTATGGCCAGCGCCAATACGTTCCTTAGTGGCATCAAATCCTTGAGATATGAATCAATAGGATATAATCGATAGGGCACAAAGCCCTCTGTAAGCTAAGGTGGATTCAAATTTGTCCCATTAGACAAGCATTCACCCCAGGTCTACAAGGTCCCCTTGGACGAAGCAACCCATGACTGCCGACAAGAATTCTTCTGTCAGGTTGGGTCGACTACCTCCTCTGACTAAGTAGACCAGGGACCACGATGGCCCGGAACGACGGAACCATGGGATCTTAATCGGGTCCATCATCCATTCCCCCACCATCCGCTTTAAGTGCAAGATGGTGAAATGTCTATTTTAAATATCAAACTTCCCAAATTCACAAACCCAAATCCAATTCTCTAATTCTCCAAATTTCCAATTCCATACCCATTACTGCTACTATATGCCAGATAACACGTATTCTTTATACGTATCTGATCGATGATTAGCCTTAATCGAAAGTTCTCTCTCGTTATCGAGAGGGGTAATTAAGTGGCTTGAGCCTATAGGAAACCAGAACTCAGATCATAAAGTCCTCACAAAATGAGGGCGAAATCTCTGGGTAGTGTCTTATCTACAAACCCATCTGCCTTCCAAAATTTACCCCGGAACTTATCCGTTAAAACTCCCTCGCCGAATAAAAAGAAAAGCGCAGCGGGGAGGTCGGGGCCGAATTTTTGGAGCCCACAATCTCTCAGTAAACATGCAAAGGGGACTTGTCCTTGATCTCCTTGCAGATCTAACAGAATGTTCGAACTTGGGCTCAGAACGTCGGTCGAGTCCTTCCTGTGGACATTGAGCTACCCGTGTCTAGTTTGACTGCACCTAAAACACCATCATATTATCCTGTTGCACTGACCAAAATATCTCTTGCCACAACTTTGGCCCACAAGTGCCTTACTAGCAGAACCAACAGACCATTCCATATTGTCCCACCATGAACTAACATAGACTGACCACCTCAACTGGAATCTCCAGTTCCAAAGCCGCTTTTCTTCCAGGAAAATTTACTACTAAAAGACCTACAGCTAAACCTCTTCTTACTAGCAACCTATCGTTGTTGAGTAGCTAGCAAATCATTATCTATCGTTGTTGATATGCACAAGATTAAAATTGCACAATTCCAAACATGATAATAGGAAAAGTGCAAAAAATATAAATATAAAAATTGTATAAAAGTATCACATGGCATGAAATTATAACGTTCAACTCAAAACTCCTTTCTAAGTTTCCTACTCATCAACATTTAATTTCTAAAGAAAACATAATAATATGACACTCAAAAGTCATCTATGTTGTCATCACTGAGAGGGTCTTTATTTAAGTCATCATCGTAATGAATTGTTGTCTCCCCTAACTCATCACCTATGAATCTTAATGCCTCCCAATTTGCTTCTTCTTCATCTAGTTATCTTCCTCTTCTTTAAATATTTTTTATTAACATAAAGCAAGTATACTCCAAAGTGAATAAGGATTAACAAAATAATATTTTTTTATATACCTTTGTTTTTTAGTTGTTTTTGTGATAGGGTTATAGAATTTTGATATTCTCTGTTTCTATATTTATTTAAGAGTTTATCATTCAAATTTTCTTCTTGTAGATCAGATGGTGTTAGCTCTACTTAATCATATACAAATCATTCATTATCTGATATCATATCCACATAAATCGAAGGGTCTTTATCAAGCTTTTTGTCTTTAAGTCTCTTATTGTATATGATTTATACTAAGAAATTTATCCTTAAGGTAGTCAGGTGATTTCTCCTTTTCGTGTGCACTTGATTGTACCTGGTCAAGTTGCGTTAACATTCAGGTGAAGAGCACGCTAATCCTAAAACATTCACAGCGAAACATTGTAGTTATGGAGTGTCGTGAACTAAATATATTCAGCACTTAACGAGGTTTACATTAATGAGTATTATAAGTTAAATGACTTTCAAATAAATGAGTATATAGTACATTAAAGCAAGAATTTAAATTACCTTGAGATAGCTTTAAAATAGTGTCCTTCACCCATTGCAATCTAAAAAAGCCCTCTTTATTCTTGAAATGTACCAATTGCATGCAGTATTTGCTCTCTAAGATGAATCAGCTTTAAGCTTGTCCATGCAATTATATAATTATAATTTTATCTTAGGATTCGTGGACCTAATATTTCCTCTGAGAATTTAGATAATAACTTACTGCATGTAATTGCTGATGAAGCTATAGCGCTCATCTCTTATTAATAATATTTCAAATTTCTCTATACCTGTCCTCTTCTCCTCTTAAGTTGTGAGCAATCATCTCTTTTGCTTCAATCATATTATTATATATGAAGCTTGTGACAGAATTCTTATCAACATTCATTATCCTTGAAACCCTCACCAATGGCCTAGTGGTTATAATAATATACATCACATTGTATTGAACTTTGTCATTTAAAATAATCTCACACTTCTTTCCCGCCAAATGTTTTTGAGCCAAGCATAACTCTGCCACTATATTGAGGTGAACATAGCCTCCAAAGGTTGCATTGCCTCCAACATACTTCGCAAAGTTAAATAGGCAATGACAAATCTTGTTATTGTTGGCCTAAGTGCTTTTGTTTTAAAACACAAGAATGATTATATATAAATTTACTTATCTTTTTTGCTTTTGTTAGTACATTCTTATGTTGTGGTAATTACTCAAGTTTCCCAAGAATTAGGTCAAGATAATGTGCATCACAAGGACTTCAATATAAATGTTTCCTCTTCTCCATAATTTTGCCCTTGTAGCCTTATATGCACTGACATTATTTGTTACAACATGAACTCCTAAGTACTCCCCAATCTCATTAATAACACCATCAAGCATTTGAAAAGAAACTCAATATTTTTTATTTGATCAGATTCAACAATGGACTTCAAGAATACTCTACCACATGGGTTAATGATCAATATGTTTATCAAGCTTCTACTCTTTATATCTGATCATCCATCAGACATGATAATAACCCTTGTCTGGCCTCAAGTCGTCTTAATTTCCTAAATACTTTTTTCAGTGTTTGTTAACTCCTTCAAAATTCATGTCCTCAAAGTAGAAATAGATAGAGGTTTGAACACTTGCTCATACGCTTGTAGTAAGAAGGGGATGTTGTGATGTTAAATGTGATAGCATTCTTATAATTTTTTTTTCTATATTCATGTATACACATATCTTTGTCGAAGGAGGTGAAGAAGCTTTGGGATTCATTTAAAACTCTAAGCAGGCGAAGTCGAGCAACAATGAAGAAATGATGAATAGAAACTTAGGTTTACGAGAAAAAAAACTATTATATATCATTTTAGGCATACTCCTCACAGGAATGAGGCAAGGCATGCCTTAGCTAAATTGAGGTGCACATCTTAAGAAAAAAATTAGAGGCGTGCGCCTCGAGGCATTTTTTGTGAAAATTGAGCTGAGGCGTGCCTCTTATTATGCAGTTTTTAATGATGATTACACGTAATCCAACAATAATGACCTGCACAAATAATTAAAATTTTAATAAAGCCACGCACGTATCAAATTATAAATTTTCAAACTCAAGTATGCTGCCTTGAGAAAGCATAACACAACCTCAAGAAGTTGCAACAACCCAATAAAGTGCATTGCATTGAAAAGCATGCGAGTAAAGTGAAAGTGTGCGAACATGCTATGTGAATGCATCAAAATGCTTATAAATGCATCATATGGGCACATTGAAAACCATGCCAATATAAAAAAGCATGCAAACGTGCAATGCCAATGCATCAAAATGCATACAAGTGCATCACATAAGTGCATTGAAAAATGTGTAAATAAATTGAAAACATGCATATGCACCGTGCAAGTGTATCATGTGAATGCATCATATTCCTTGCAAATGCATTATGTGCATTAATGTATTGTGCAAATGCATTATGCAAGTATATATTGAACATAGTGCGAGTATATCAAACAGAGTGAAAATGCATGATGCAAATATATCCAACAGTATGCAAATGCATTATTATATAAGTATATCACATTGATCAAGGGAATGCTAGCAGGCTTTGATGCTAGTTGATGTTGTGGTGAAAGAGGAAGTGGAATAAAAATTGAAAAGGCGCTAGAAGAAAGTGAGAGAGACTACTTAGCGTAGCCTTAGGTTTTTTATTTATGGTCAAAAGTAATCTTAGGGTTACAAATAAATGAAGTAATAATAATAGATAGGAGATAAATTACATTCCAATAAAATAATGTGAAAATACATCTGACTATTATGTAAATATAAATATGAATAAAGAAGGAAATATCTAATCAATCACAGTTTGACCTTGAATATTCATATCGGTGGATTGTCATCAATGACTTTCCTAATTTTGATATTTCTTGATTAACTTGTGTCACCATAAATGATAACCAATTTGTGTAGGCCTTGGTGAACTTTCCCGCTCCTGCAAAATTATATCCACTACTAGCAAAATTCTTAGTATAATAATCTAGAACAGCTAGGATTATACCTATTTAAGAAAATGTTTGTCGATATGTAAATTCATTCTATGGCGTATCATTTGAAAAACGTTAATATGAAGCATCACACATAAATTTTATTGGGAACATTTCCTTTTAAATAAATCGTCATTTTGTAGGAATAACAATGAATTCATGTTCCTTCAGTATGCTGTCATTGATATGATTTTATTGGGTCTACTCTGAGTGATACTAAGAGTCATTTCATACACCAAACTAACTGGTGAATTCAGTACAACAGCTGCATAAGTTTTCCTTATCGAACAATAATTTACCGCTGCAAAAACGAAGCATTTGTTGAAATTCTTCCTACAGTAGTATTGGTAGTGTGCATTTCCTGTGCATAAATGTTGCTTCACTGATAATTATTTTCACTAAAAATGTTGAGTGCGTCAGCATTTTCTTGATCGTGAACTGCGCTACTGACAGGCGCTTAGGCTTGCGATTTCTACATTTAGGGAGCACAAAGCTTCATGGGAAGGACTGATGAAACGTGGGATGTCCAGAAATTCTACGTGGGAAAATGCTGCGTTAAAGTACGAGCAGGTCTTCGAGTGGGCTTTAATGGATCCTCCATATGTTAAATAAATTTATACTGTAACTTTATTTTCTTGACAAATTTTGTTTCATTAATATATATATATATATATATATATATATTCAGTTTGTATTATCTGAAATAAGGAAAGGTTGTAGAATTTCAAGGATGTTACACCCTGAAACTAATTTTGATTTTTTCAGCAACTGAGGAAATAACCCTTCTTTAGACATTTATTTTCATAATTTGTTATAAAGTTTTCTTTTCGCAAGTTTGTTTGTTCTTGTTAGTTTGGTTTTATATGTTTGAGACCCCTACACAGATTAGCTCATATAGAATAAAAATTTATTTTTGATATTTTCTCATTTTAATTATATCACCTAGTAAATATATATTATATTTTTCTACTGATAATTTTAAAAAATATTCAATAGGTATGATAGTATTTTGGTCATTGTTAGCCTTGTGCAATGGTATAGTTAAATATATCGAAATAAATATTTTAGGGACTTATTTTATGATTGGAGACAAAACTAAATTTTGCTTGGCACATTAATCCAAAAAACCAAGCCAAGGTGCATTGCTTGGCACATTAATTTTGTTAGACTTTTGCATGAGATGCCATTTTGAAGTTATTTGCCACCGCTTCTCGGGCCACCTGCCTTTTTTTTTTAAATTGATTTTACGGGGTTTTTTTTTAATTAGTTTTATTCGTTTGGAGATTTAAGTTCATTACTGAATTTAGTTTGCTCATTACTGTCTATTTAGTTTGTTTGATTCATATTTATTTGCGAAAGATATCCTAACCTAACTAGCAAGTAAATTCCAAAGACTACAACCCAAGACCATGTACTGAGTGTTGAAAGAGAAGATTTTTGCAATTTTTTTGATTAAAGAAATTTTTCAATCAAGGTTATGAAAATCGGACCAAATAATAAACTAGATGAATGTGAAGCTAACGAATTTGATGATTTGATTGGATTTGGATCGGGGTTGAATTAAATGATGTAATAAATAATAATTTTATTTGAATATAATAAAATTAGTATTATAATGATGCAATCAATTGAAATGTGACAAAAAAAAAAATTAAAATAAAAATTTATGAAGTATAAGACATGAACAATTTATTCTTTTATTAAATTAAAGATAAAGTATTGAGTAATGTGCCTCTTCGTATGTTCACATCTAATCTCTCTATAAAATCTTCAAATTTTTCGTGTAGTAGATGAAATTCTAAACACAAAATGATGAAAAAAAAAAATTACTATCAAATAAAAGGTATGCAATACAAGTAACATATGGCAAAGTACAATAAACTAAATGTATGTACATAATAAATTGTTTGAAGATAATAAAATTACACATTCATCATATAAAGATAAATCATGAAACAAGTAATAGTGCAAAACTTAAGTGAATCTAATATTCATCTCCTAGATTTGCATGATTAAATGACGCCTCTCCAAATCCTCCTCAAAATCTTTCACTCCAAATATGTCAGCAGCATAACATCCAAGCATTTTGTCCCCATCACCTACAAATTCTAAGTCATGTTCGTCTACAAACCTGAATGCAAAATAATGTCTTTATTTTAAATTTCACCCAACAAAGCTATATCAATCCTAAACTTTTTTTGAGGTGGTATATTAGAAGTTTTATTCGATTCTTCAGCAGGAGGAATTATATCTATTTTATAAATTTCTATCTCCAAATCTTCAAAATCAAGTTATGGAGTTGACTATTCATTAAGCACCAAAAAAATTTATCCCTGTAATGCATGTGTAATATAAAGGATCATAATTCCTCTTTTTAAGCTGCATCCTACAAAGTTAATATTTAAATTAAAATATGATAATTTCTAAGTATGAAGTGCATTGATCTTGGAATAAATGTTTACATGTACGAGAATGCAATACATATTCCTCAAATTGAGGTTGTATCAAATATATACAATATCATTAAGACTTTGATGTTCTAGAATATTTAACCTCTTATTATGAATTTGTTCAAATATCATCTAGTTCATTTCACCTTGATTTAAAAGATCGAAACATAAGATTGGGTAGAGCAAGTTTGATGTTTGCAAGAGTTTGCATTTTCATTTATTTATTTTTATGTTACTTGAGGAAAGGTCTTGTATAAAAAGTATGCTAGCTTAGCAATTATACGCAAACATACAAGGGAGAAAATTAAATGTTTAGGTTTTATGAAATTCATATTATACGATTTCTACCGTATTGTGCGATTTGTTTATCAATAAATAAATTAAAATGGCTAACTGAGTGATTTATATTTTTGAACTAATCGTGTTGTAAGAACACATTCAGACAATACGATATTTGAAATCATGCTTTAATTAATTCCTATGATTAGTCAAACAAATCAAAATTTAATTAATGAGTATGATCGTACAATGTAATTGAGATCATACTAGATGACTGGCAACAATGAATTTTGATCATCATAGAAATCATCTTTGATGAACCTTAATGTTATTAACCTATTCATATAATATGACATGAATCGTACTGGATGATTGGCTGAGATAATTTATTGTTGCCCCAAAGATCATCCTCGATGAACTTAAGTTAATAAATTAATAGTACTGTACGATTAATGATTTGTACTGTACAATCTAGTTAAGAGACTTGAACTGATCATATTAAGAGTTATTCATCATATTGAATGGATAGGGACTTTTGAATTAATAGTATTGTATGATCTACATATCGATCGTTCCGTATGAACATAGTCAGCTTACTTGAAAAATTAGGGTTTTCTTGGAAGCCTTATATTTAATCTTATCTTATTAAACTTTGAAAATTTCTTTAGTTGTTGGGAAGCTTCTAAGAGTGTTCTTTGAGGGATTGTGTCTTCTTGATAGATCTTGGAGTTTGGGGAGAAAGGGGGAGAAGTTGTATGTTAGGGAGAAGTTGTGTGAGAGAGGATTCCACATGGTTGCTCCAAGCAAACTTCTACCTATGCTCCTCCATGTGACTTCGTTGATCTTGTGGGAAGCTTTGAGGACAAAGTCTTTAAGACTACAAATCATCGACACTCCGCCTCACTAGGAAGGTGAAAGAGGTTTAAGTTCTCTGTCTCACTTGGAGGGTAAGAAGGATTTTGGTACTATGTCATATAGGGTTGTTGGAAGAGATTTTGTAAGGGCTTTTCCACCTTACTGTGGGGACAAAATGAGAGTCACTAAAGGTTTAGTACAATATCCATAAAGGAGAACTCCTAGGAGTGGACATAGGTCAAGTTTTAATCAAACCACTATAAATTTGGTGTGCTCAATCTTTACTTTTATTTTCGCATTTTATTTTTTTGCATATTAATTTTTTTGCACATTTTTATTTTTCTTAGAAATATGTACTAAGATTATTGAGATTGGCTTTAATTTAAAATTTGCTTGAAAAGAAAATAAAAATCTATAAAATAAAATAAAAGAATATATATTTTCATTTTTTCTTACAAAAATTGAAAAGAGCAAAAATAGTTATTTCATTAATTTCTTTCGCTTGAGTTTCTGTAATTAGTTTTAAGTTTTCAAAACAATCTCCTTTAGAGAGTTTTTAAAACACCAATTCACACCCCCCCCCCTACTCTTGGTTAGCCTTGGGCAGTTCCAATGATTTGATAATTCATCCTTGAACTTTCTTTTATAATTTTTATATAACTAAACAATCACTTCAAAAATAGGAAGAAGAACCTCTTTCTTTCTCAACTAGATTGCCTACAAATACAACTACACTTTGCTCTAAATCTTATTGTGCATATTATGTCCTCTTTGTTATCTCTAAATTCTTTTACATTAGGCATCAGATGTGATGAGGGACTTTTTTGTTTGTTCGGTTCTCTACCTCACTAGGAGGGCAAAAAAGATTTTGGTTCTCCACCGCACTGAGTTGGTGGAAGAGATTTTTATAAGGACTTCACTACATTTCTATTGAGATAAAAGGAGATAAACTAAAGTTTTAGTGCAATACCTGGAGAGAACTCAGAGGAGTGAATGTAAGTCAATGTTGACCAAACCACCATAAATTTCTGGTGTGTTTGTTATTATGTTTCTTACTGCATTTTAATTTTATGTATTTTATTTTCTTGCACGCTTTTCATTCTTACAAATATGAGTTGAAAATTGATATTGTTGTTATATATGGATATTGAGCTTATTTTGAAATTTACTTTTGTTAGAAAAGAAAAGAAAATAAATATCTAAAAATAAAAAGGATAAAAATATTTTGCTACAAAATAAAAAAATATATTAGCATTTGATTTTTCTTATTATTCGTTTCTGCTTGAGAAAAAATGGTTTAAAGTAATATTGGGGGATTTGGTTTAAGTTTTTCAAAAAGAATTATTTTTTTAAACATCAATACACCTTTCTTTGGTGTGACGTTGTAGTTCAAATGGTCTAACAAACATAGATTAAACTTTCAATTAGTATCCGAGCAGATTTTCCAATCTAATGATTTAAAAGCCATGAGAAAAATATCCATGGAACAATATGAGAATTAGAATACTACATATGGTTATTCAATAACACATCCATCATTATTTGATAATATTCCATTTGATTTCTGAAAAATTAGTCTATCTACTTTCTTGCAATAAATTAATTATCACATGTGGTATATAATAAAAATTGGTTATTTTGTTCCTTCAAGAACTATTAATAGTGTGAAAACTGAAATTCTATTTACTAAATGAAGCATTGAGGATAGAGACTATATGCAACTTACAGTTGAATGCTTAAATTATTTTTATGTTCACTTAAATCAGAAGACTATATGAGAGTCTTTACTTATACAACTGATAAGAAAATCTAGGATAAACTTTGTATCATGTATGAAGGTACAAATAAAGTGAAACAATTTCATTTTAATTTATTGATGCATGAATACAGACTCTTATGCATGAATCCTAACAAAATTCTATCTGACATTGCATGACTTAGTAAGAGAACTATCTAATTCTAAGAAAGTCAATAAGATTTTACATTATTTTCCTGATAGTTTTGATGTTAAAATTACTATAATCTTTGAATATAAAGATTTTAATGTATAATCTATTCATAATATGCTAGTCTCTCTCATTGCTTATAAGCAAAATATGAGCCAAAAACTTTAAGATGAAGGTGACAGGAAAAAAGAGAAGACTGTGGCACTGAAGGTTAATGATACAGATAGCTTTGAATCAAGAGCTGACGAGAGCAAGGAAATAGCCTTAATAATAAGCCAATTCAAGAGCTTCTTTAAGTGCAAG